CAGAAGGACCCAGAACAGCAGCACTGTGAGGGTCGGAGATGGGGGGAAAAAGAAGAGGGTTAGGGTCGTCAGATCTTCTCAGCATGAATCTTAAAATTCTGCAGCCTCCCGTGGGGAAACAAGCAGAATAGAATCTTTGCTTTCAGTAGAGAGAACCTATCACCTGAATGAGGTGGTGCTGGGAGCCAGGACTATCAAACCTAACCAAACCCAAGAGAGCTGAAAATCCACGGGTGCTCTTCTAAGCTCCTGGAAAACCGACAGACCTCAGCCACCTTTTGTCCTGTTGTGGGCAATAGCATTTAAGGTGGGGAAGTTTTCTCCCCACTTCCCAACTATTTTCCCTTCAAAAGCTCCTTCAACTTCAAGACACTGGTAAGTCACTTTCCTGCTCCAGGCTCCATTTTTCCATCTGTAAAATGGGCTTAGTGTCTTTATGCTTTCTTTTCATAGACCTGATGTGAGGTTACAAGAATCTTGTATGGAACTATTAAGACATAGTTACTTTAAAATTGTGAGAAGTATGGTAGCCAACCTCCAAAGTGGCCCAAACAACCCTCTGGGCATTTACGTCAGTGTGTAGGCCCTACCACAATTTCATCAGGGATGGTTGGCAGGAGGGATGGAGTGCAGCAGAGGTGACGGCATGTGACTTCTGAAGACAGGTTATAAAAGGGGTCCTGCCCCCCCCTCAGATTTCTTACTCTAGGGGAAGCCCCTAGCCATGTCATAAGGACACTCAGCAGCTTTAAGGAGACACTCACACAGGAGAAGCTGAGGCCACCTGACAATGACATCATAAGCGAGCCATCCTGGAAGTGGATCCTGTAGCCCCAGTCAAGCCTTCTGATGACAGCATGGCATGTGACTTCTGAGGATAGGTCATAAAAGGGGTCCTGCCCCCCTCTCAGATTTCTTACTCTAGGGCAGTGGTCGGCAAACTGCAGCTAGGCAAACCGCGGCACGCGAGCCACATGCGGCTCTTTGGCCCCTTGTGATGACAGCAGCCCCAGCTCATGAGAGACCTTGAACCAGAACCATCCATCTAAGCCATTCCCTGGTTCTGAATCCGCGGAAACTATGAGATCATGTTAGTCCTTTTAAACCACTAAGGTCCAGGGGGAAGCCCCTAGCCATGTCATAAGGACAATCAGCAGCTTTAAGGAGACACCCACATAGAAGAAACTGAGGCCACCTGACAATGACATCATAAGTGAGCCATCCTGGAAGTGGATCCTGTAGCCCCAGTCAAGCCTTCCGATGACAGCAGCCCCAGCTCATGAGAGACCTTGAGCCAGAACCATCCATTTAAGCCATCCCCAGGTTCTGAACCCGTGGAAACTGTGAGATCATGTTAGTCCTTTTAAACCACTAAGGTCCAGGGTAAATGTTTTAAGTGGCAAGAGATAATGAATACACTTTCTTCCTCCGTAAATCATTTCCACACACACAACACAGGAAGACTATTTCACAGGATTGGTGTGAAGATACAAGGCTGGTCCCCAGTGACAGGCTGGGCCAGAGCGGGAGTCCAGCCTGTGGGACTTTGGACGCACTAGTTCACTTCACTGGAGTTTGGGTTTCCCCAGCCACAAAATGAAGATAGAAACAGCACTTACCTAATGGGGTCATTGTGGGGACTTAATGAGAACAGAGATGAAACACTTAGTCAACTTCAAAGTGGGACAAAAAAATGTCGGTTGTATGATTGTCATTTCTCATCATCTTACCTCTTCTTCCTTCTTCTCTCGGCATCACAGGTGAACACTTCTTTCAGGAGATCCAGAAATTTATTATAAAACCCCAGCCTCAAAAGTCATTTTAGGGAACAGACAGAGGCCAAGAGATGGGTTCATGGAGAGTCGAGTTTGTGCCAAGTACCAGAACAGATGGGGCACACTGTAGAGGAAGCATGCCAAATGCAGAGCACACATATGGACACTACTCAGGGTCACACGAGCAGCTTCTGATAAAAGAATTTATTCTCAGACATTCACTTATCACTATCACAATATCCTCCCGTGGCTACATCATTATTTCCAAACTCTTTTTCCATAGTCTTTTTTTCTTTAAATCAACTCACCCTTTTTACTTAAATATTTTCAAAAGAAATTTCATACCCACTATAAATGGAAAGCCAGTTTCACTTGCTATAAAGATAATCATAAAACATGATTTCCCCCTTTCCTGCTGACTCCAGAATCAATCGAACATCTAAGATGTTCCCCAAAATGTTCCTTGCACCACTGAACAGAACCAGGTGGCCTTACCCTCAGCTCAACTCAGCTCAGGCCACAGTCTAATCCAAAACAGCTGGTCACAACATGCTGCCACTAACAGAGGTCACATAAATGATTGCTTCTACCTGTGACACATTAGGGTGGGAGGCTGACCCCTAGGTTCCAGCCAGAAGGACCCAGAACAGCAGCACTGTGAGGGTCGGAGATGGGGGGAAAAAGAAGAGGGTTAGGGTCGTCAGATCTTCTCAGCATGAATCTTAAAATTCTGCAGCCTCCCGTGGGGAAACAAGCAGAATAGAATCTTTGCTTTCAGTAGAGAGAACCTATCACCTGAATGAGGTGGTGCTGGGAGCCAGGACGATCAAACCTAACCCAACCCAAGAGAGCTGAAAATCCACGGGTGCTCTTCTAAGCTCCTAGAAAACCAACAGGAGGTGCATATGTCCCTCAAACAATAGCTACATGGCCTTTGGTCCTATTGTGGGCAATAGCATTTAAGGTGGGGAAGTTTTCTCCCCACTTTCCAACTATTTTCCCTTCAAAAGCTCCTTCAACTTCAAGACACTGGTAAGTCACTTTCCTGCCCCAGGCTCCATTTTTCCATCTGTAAAACGGGTTTAGTGTCTTTATGCTTTCTTTTCATAGACCTGATGTGAGGTTACAAGAATCTTGTATGGAACTATTAAGACATAGTTACTTTAAAATTGTGAGAAGTATGGTAGCCAACCTCCAAAGTGGCCCAAACAACCCTCTGGGCATTTACGTCAGTGTGTAGGCCCTACCACAATTTCATCAGGGATGGTTGGCAGGAGGGATGGAGTGCAGCAGAGGTGA